AAAAAAAAAAATTCTACATCAACTTTACTTTAAAAATCAAACTCCCTCGTCAATGGACGGTAGACAGTCTCTAATTATTATTTTCTTAAGAAACATATAAAAGAATACGACAAATAATTTAAGACCAAAAGTAAGAAAAAAATTTGTTTTATTATATTACTTATGTAATATATTTTTTTTCAAATATAAGTCAAATAAATAAATAACCATTTAAAGTAGGAGACACATGAGAAAAAGATGCATACCCACTCCATGTTGTGCCTAAAATGTGGTGTGACTCCTCCATTCTCATGTTTAGACAACACATTTTTATTATTTTTTTTTTAATTTGAAAATTTTAATTTTTAATAAATAAAAATAAATTTTAATTGCTCTCGTGATTTTGAGTTAGATGCACATCACGAGTTTAAGATTTAACACAAATAATAATATGATATTTCATTGAAAATAAATATAGAAAAGCAAATCTGTTATTCACGGGATTCATTTTCAAAGAAAGCCTCGATACTTATTATGCAATAAATAAATAAGATCCCTTCATTTATAAGAGTTGAAGCTCTCGAAAAAAAGAGAAATTTATGATAGATAACACTTTTATTTTAATATAACCAACGTAAGGTAAATCTGAATTAGTTCAAACAACAAATTATAGATATCATATAATATTAAAAAAGAAATGATTACAAACTCAATATATAGTGGTAGAAATAAAGTAGATTATTGTGTACATGAAATATCTATTTTTTATTTTTTATTCATATTGTAATTTTGATTTATCTAAATTCAACGTTTAAGAGAAACATCCTCTAATGTAATTTTTTTTTATATTTAATCCAAGATTTAAACTCAAATATCTGATTAAAAATAATTATAAGAAGGTCCAAATGGTAAGAATAGTTTGGATAATGGAGTTATCAAAGTCTCAATCATTAACTAATTATGGAATATTGATTAATAAATTTCATGATAATGACTCCAAACAATTGTTCTTTCACATAAAATCCTCTATTAGTTTCTTTATTCTGAATATTATATATTCAAATCGAAATTTTCATATTCAATCTGAACGAAAATCAAAATTTTCATATTTGATCTGAACAGAATATTTAACTCATTTACAAATTAGGAAAATGGCATTATCCATGCTTCTCAAAGTCTCTCTACTTGTTCATAAAAATGCCTCTTATATATAATATATAATATTATAAATATAATAATTTTGAATTATCTTCCATTATAAAAAAACAATTTGATCATATTCATTACATTTATAGATTGTTGAATTCTATTACGTAACTTAAATAATGATTTTATTGTCCTAAATCAATAAATTTTTTTGTAGGATTTTGATACTATCAAATAATAATAACATATTTAGTATCTTCATAAATAAAATTAAAGAGAGTATATATATGTACACATATTTTATCTCTACTTTTGTCAGAAACAAAAAGTTTTTTTCAATAACACATCAACTCAATGAAATCATTTTTTTGGTCATGATTTATGCAAAAGTAAAATGTTATGAGATAGGTACTCCGGATTAGAATATAATCCGGCTCTATCACTATTATGAACTGAGAAAACGCTCAATTATCTATTTACTGTTAATCCTAACTCTCGACCTTTATGTTGATATTCTATCTAAAATCATGTCCTCGATGAATTGAATAATATTTCAGAAGTATTTAATATTTACTTCCAAATTATTTTTAAAGATTCTACTTGTTAGTAATAGTGTTGGCATTTTAATAAAAATAAATTTAGAAGAATTTAGAGGGAAAATAATAATTTTAAAAAATGAGTAAAGTTGAGAATGAAAGCAAAAGCTTCACTAACAAAGAAATTGCAGGAGATTTAATTAGTAATACCAAACAGTATAAATTAGAGAATATTCCAAAATTAAATAATAAGTAATTTTAGTTTCTGGTCCAAATAATGTATTATTTTAATTAATATAAAATTTGAATAGATTCTATCATTTTTCGTTGTTATATAATGTTGAGCAAACAATTCATTACTATATAACGAATAAAGATAAAATAAGGAGGGCGGATTTGTGTGGGGGCGGGTAAACGAAATAATCACACAAAATAAATTAGTAAAGTTAGAACCAATGTCTTGGAACGAACAACAAGAAAACTCGAATTGAACCATGCGTTCCCAAATAAGCTTTTTATTTAGAATCCGACAACTTCTGCAGAAACTTTTCAACCGTTCGATTTCTGATTCGGCTTTATTGAAAGCTTTAAAAGTCTGAGAGATAGTGACTTTTTTTTAAAAAAAATTTATTATTATTTTGCAAAATTAAATTAAATAAAATAAAAAATAGAGTAGGATACAAATTAATCAATTTAAATTCCGGCCTTCTTTTAACAGAAATACCAATTATTTAGTAACGTAACTCTTTTTTCTAATCATATTTTACATCATAATTTAATAAATTAAAATAATAATAATAATAATAATTAAAAAAAAAACTAGAGCAAGAGAAGAAGAACATAGTAACAGCAGCCGTATTCAGTGTAATTCATTTCTTTGATTGATTTTGTTTCATCGGAAAAGTTATCTTTGTATGACCTATAAATAACGAGTTCGAGCTGTGAAAACAATTACTAATATTCTACGATAAGTAGGTTGTCTTCATCACATCTGTTTGTATTAGGCTGAGTTCAAATGCGGCTCTTCCTCAAACCCTACCTGAACATGCGAGATTTTTTGTGCATCGAGACTGTCTTTTTTTATATATATACTAAATTGTATATGCATAGGCATGCATTTGCAAATTTAATTTAATTTATCTTCATAGTTCTTTCAGTTTCAAATAATCTTTCCAATTTTGAATTTTTCTTTGTATTCTGCAATTAATTAAAATCCTCTTATCATTATAGTTTGAATCATTATTAATTTACATTTTATTATCGCGTTATCATTACCAGAAACACGCGTATATCTCATAAAATTCATTGAAAATGTGCTCGTTGGAGGCTACAAGCCATTCAGTATTCGTAGCTTACTGACCTGACTAATTTAAATTTGCATCGTGTAGGATCGGAGATTGTTAAAGAGGTTTTCAAAATTACAAGATGTCCCCTGAAGACAAATCAGGGTTGGAGCACTATGGATATTTAGAGGTACATTGACCAAAACTATATCATAAAGTATATATTATATTAATATATGATATGCATTTGGGACAATATTTAGTTGAAGTTGAAAAAAAAAATTAGTTGTTTTGTAATTGATAACCATTATTTCAATAAGTTTTGTCACTATTTCAAATTGAGAAATGGTAAAAACACACACATGAAGTATCATGTTTTTACGAGTTTTCTATTTAATATAGTTCAGGTAGGAAAAATGAACAATTGATAGTTCTGGACAGAGGCGGAGTCAGTATTTTCAATAAGGAGATTCAAAATGTGTAGAAATAGATAGCCGAAGGGTGTTCGACATCTACTATATATACATATAAACTTATTTTAACCATGTATAAATAATATAATTTTCCGCCGATGAACCCCTTTCATACAAGGTAACTCCGCCCCTGGTTCATGGAAACTCGCGAAAACGTGATATTTTAGGTGTTTTTTTTTTATCATTATTATTTTCAAAACACTGAAGTTCAGACCATAGGTTGCAAAATAATTAATTTCAGTATTAGTCTATGTTACTCGAACTCTTTAAAAATATAGCCTAGCGTGTGTTAGATCCTTTAGAAAGCTACACGTTTTTTGAGGATCCAACATTGGCTTGCAAACATTTCTGAAGCGTACGAACAACATAGGTTATTAGCAAATAATGAATAGATAACAACATAGGTTATTAGCAAATAATGAATAGTATCTATCTATAAACATCAATATCATGAGTATTTAGGCAAAATATAGCATATCATTAATTTAGCTAGCTTTTCGCCGTAGATTTTGAGAGTAATATCTGTTTGACCATGAAATTTGATCAGATTTCTTCAACAAACCTGTTTTTGTGAGCCAGTTTTTCGGACTTCCACTCACAAAACTTCAAGTATAATGCATGTCCAAACTCTAAGCGCGCACAGCTTCAAAAACTCAAATTTTCAAGTTTCAACTTCATAATCTACGTGTTGACGATAGCTTGAATTTTTTTGTACATGTTGTGAATTTTGATTTTTCTCAGTCAATGCAAGTTTTGCAAAGGGAAAATATGCCAAAAGCAAGTGATCTACTTTTATCAGTTTCAGTTTGTGCTGAAACATACAAAACCAAAATTATTGATCTTGCCTTAGCATCAAGTGAAGAACTAAGACAAATGGCTCAACAACAAGAACCATTATGGCTATTTGATACAAATAAGCAAACTGAAGTACTTAATGAAGTTGAATATAAACGACGATTCGCTCATCTTGATCCAACTTTGGAGGAAATTATCAAACTCATTGCAAATGGAGGAGGACCTATTGACATGACAAACTTCAATGGAAATGTCGATATTGAGATGGGAAATTCATCGATCCCTTCTGTTATTGAAGCGTCTAGAGCTATTGGGATTGTACTTGTCGATCCAATCAACCTCGTCCATATGCTGATGGATGTTGTAAGTTACAGATAATCTATGTTGCTCGGACTCTTCAAAAACGTTGCTGCAACATAGCAGATAACAATAGTACTATTAACTTTTTTTTTTTGTGTGTGTGTGTAAAACAGGACAAATGGTCATATGTGTTCTCCAACATTGTTTCAAAAGCAACAAATCTTGGAGTTCTATTGAGAGGAAGAGATGGAGATCTTAATGGAGCTTTACAAGTGGTAATCTAAAATTAACACTTTATCTAATCTTTTCTGAGCTACTAATCCACCTTTTAGGGTGTGGCCGCAACGAGTAATGTTTTGTGCACTGAGCTACTAATCCATTCTGAATCATGTGTAGTAATAATAGTACTATGTAGCTCGTTGCTTCCAGCTCGAACTATGTATACATATAATATGATTACACTTATTCTGAACACACTGACTCTAAATCACAGATTCGTCTTATAGCAACCACACACAAATGAATCCTTCTTACTTCAAAATTCTAGATGTTTGTTATTTCAATCATCTAAGCAAATTAAGAGATCGTTTCTTTACGAATGATATGATACATAGTCGTCAGTTGAGGATTCATATGGCCGACCTTAACTTGTTTGGACTGAGGTGTAGTTGTTGTATGTTTTTTTTCTTTTTTCAGATGACAGCACAATTTCATCTTCCTTCTCCACTTGTTAGGCCTCGGGAGGTCTATTTCGCGAGGCACTCTCGACAAATAGATTTCAACACTTGGCTAGTAGCTGATGTATCCTTAGAGAGTGTTTATCCTAATCCATTAGTACAGTTTAAAAGAAGACCATCAGGATGCCTAATCCATGGACTTCAAAGTGGACTATCAATGGTAAAAATGAATAAGTACTTCTTAATCATGAAAATTATAAGTTCCTAGTTGATTATTGCATTATAATCATAAAGATTTTGATGTGAATATTTTAGGTGACTTGGGTGGAGAATAATTTAGTATGTGATGGTTCGATTCCCGAGATGTTTAGGCAGACGTTTAAATCAGGTGTTGCATTCAGAGCGAAGCGCTGGATGCTAACCATGGAGAGACATTATGACAGATATGCAGTTCTGCAGAAACAACAAAATCAACTATTGGGACAGCCTTTGCTACACAACAGTAAGCTGGTTTTCTGTTTTTTCTTAGTCGTTTTCATTCGGAAAAAAGGTCAAAAATACCTCTTTACTATATGGAATATCTTGATTCTGTTATATATCGTTAGCAGATCATCTCGCATTTGCCCTTGATCCTAACGAACCTCTAACCTGAAGTTTGGAGGATACTTTTAGACCATAGTGAATAATAGAGGTAAGATTTGTGAAGTTCTTTTCCTGAAGTATTTTTTAGCGCACAGAATCCAGTCTGTCGATGCTGGAGCTCCATAAAGAGTAACTACGAGACGATGTGGTAACAGCAAAGGGTATGAATGGCCTCATAGTGTAACAGAGGATACAATTAAGATATTTCGTATAGTAAATGACCTTTCCCTTGTCATGAAGAAAAAGAACTTGATTTGGTACTGATTCATGGTGTTTATCGCGTTATCTTCCATATTTGTAGACATAGGGAAAGGACAGAAGAATTTAATGAAGTTAGCAGAACGAACGATCAAAAGTTTCAATAGTATCTATAGCTCATGCAATGAAAACCAGTGGATGCCCTTGAGTATACAAGGTGGTGAGGATATATTTGTGAAAACAAACATGAATTTAGATGCTCCAGGAACCCCTCGAGGCGTTGTAGTAATGATTTCAACTTCCGTATGGCTACCAATACCACAAAACAACGTTTTTAAGTTCCTTCGTGCAGGAGGAAATCGATGGAAGGTACTGTTCTACAGAGTTCTACCTCAACTTATACTATGTTCTGCTATTTGTGTTCTTAACATATAGTTTTTTGTAGTGGGATTTACTCTCCTACGGGTGTATGACTCGAGATGCACTTCATATTCCCTCAGCAAGAGACCCTGCCAACACTGTTTCACTAGTCATAGTGGAGGTAAGACCCCATTAATAACTTATTACTCCCGATGTTTCAGTCTGTTTGTCTGGTTTTGACTAATCACGGAGTTAAAGTAACGTTGAACTTACAGTCTCAAACTAAAGAAATGTGACTCTCTGACGATGAACCCCCTTCCGCCCTTCTATCTCCACTATGGCAAGAAGGCTTAGGTAGATATAATGTCGTTGTACGAACCCTCTTGCCTCCAAACAGCAACTTTTACCTATCAAGAAGACTTAAACAAATGGGAAGAAATCACCTAACGTTTTTTTGTTTACTAATTCTACGAGGAATAAAGCGAAGTTTCTAATATTTCTTGATCAATATATAGCCTCCCAATGGAAGAACAAACAAGTCAGAGATGTTTTACCTACAAGAGAGCTTTACAGATTCAACAGGAATGTACATAATTTTTGCACCAGTTGATGGTTCAGCTGTGAAATATATAATGGAAGGCAAAAACACTGATAATGTAGGCATGTTGGCTTCAGGATTTGCTGTGTTACCTTGTACTTCTGAAGGAAGTATTCTAACAATGGCATTTCAGTTGATGGATGAAGAGATATCGACCCCGGAGTATCTTCCTCCACTTGCAGTTTCTACAGCAAACAGACTCGTCTCGGAAACAGTTTCACTTATCAAGGCTTCATTGATGTTCAACTCTGCATTTTGAGACATTGTTTTGTTTAGTAGAGAATAGAGAAAGTTCAATTAGGCGCGATTTTACTTGTGTTATTGAAGTTGTTGGCATGTTTTGTTGCTGCTCCTTATATCAACTCTATGATTTCTGTTTAGTGGTAAGAACAATTGTTTTTGGTTCAACCAAAAAGTCGGATCGAGGATCTATCAGAAACAACCTCTCTACCTCTCCCTACCTCTCCCAAGGTAGGGGTAAGGTTTGTGTGCACACTACCCTCACCAGAACCCATTTGTGGGATTAGATTGGGTATGTTATTGAAAAATGAGATAATCTCCACTCGTGAAGACTCGGAATGATGATCCAAGGGTCTATCAGAAACGACCTCTCTACCTCCTAACGCAGGGGTAAGGTCTGTGTACAGACTACCCTCATCAGACCCCACTTATGGGATTACATTGGGTGCGTTGTTGGAAAATGGGATCATCTCCACTCGTGAAGACTCATACTGATGATCCAAGGATCTATCAAAAACAACCTCTCTACCTCTCGATGTAGGGGTAAGGTCACCAAACCCCACTTGTGGGATTATATTGGATATGTTGTTGAAAAAAATGGGATCTCTCTATTCGTGAAGACTCGAAATGATGGAGTTATGCCAACTTCAGACTTCAACTAATGTTGACTTCAGACATTCAGGTCTGAAGTTTGGGACTGTCGAATCAAAATTTCAAACCCTTAGTTTACCAACTTCATACATAAATGTCTCACATGACACAACGTTCTGCCTTTTCAATATTTAAAAGTTGTTACAATCGTATACGATATGTTTTAAACCACAAGACTCAAAGATATCTTTTACTTTCTTAAACTCCGTGTCCAACTAAACACCTTCACATAAAAACAGAGTAACAATCTCTGTACCCAGAAATGAAAAAATTATTGCATTGATGTTGTTAAGGCAATAAGTAAAGCCAGTAGACCTATTAAAGTAAGAAGTCATTTAAAAACCAAAATCATACACTCCAAATAATAGAGTTTATGTACATTTTCCTATTCTAATATTCCAGAATTAAGCAAAAAATCCCTCTGATGAACTAATTTCTTTTTTTTTGGGTACGTCGGGAAGACGAAGAAACTCCATATCTTTGAACAGCACCACCAGATTATCGAATCTTCTTTGCTCAAAACACATGTATCGTGAATTACAAGCAACTCATGGAGATAAACTAACTTCCAGGAAGAACATCCATCAATGAGAAATCATGGGGCGGACCTGCGTATCATGTTTTATACATCATTAGTAACGATTGAAGTTATCTTTTATGAAAGATCAAATTTAGATAACATTAAGTTAACTCAATTGGCAAAGGTTGAGGAACTTGTACATCATCACCGAGTTTCAAAGAATGCGGTTGGCCTAAAGAGTTGGTTCCAGATGGATTTCTCGCTCATCCGAAAAAAAAGAAGAAAAAGAAAAAGTTATGCACAGCTTACCTTCTTGTGCACCTAAAAGGTAAAATGGAAGGTGCGAAATCATTTTAGTTCCCCCTTCACTCCAATTCACTGTGCCAAGTTTCTGTATCCCTTTACTTGGAGATTCACATGGGCCCAAGATAGACAAACATATAGCAGGTTCATTCATCAGACCCAAATAATCACGTGCACGCTTCCAGACCCTTGCATCTGAGATTCGTGAACGTGCAACCTGTCAACCAGATTGACCAAATTATTAAGCTTAATAACCCAAAATCTCTGAGGCATTTTATCGACATGATCAAATTGCTGACATGAAAGCTTATTTATATCTGGAAGGTGATAGATTACACCAACCTTCGTCAAGGATACACGGGCCCTGGGCAACAGTTCCCGGTGATATGTGGCAAGCTTTGCAATGGCAGTCACAACAAAACATAATAGCCTTGATTGTGATGATTTTCTGGATTTTGCGGAATCAGAGCCAAGAGCTGATTCACGCAGACGCACACGGCTTATGAGCAGAAGGAAAACATAAAAATCAGTAAAGAGTGGCATCTTAAAATGAATCTCTGATGTTGTACGAAGCAGTCAATTCACAGTTTACCTTGATGAAAGGTTTTCATAGAGAAGTAATTCCAAGCTCTCAAAGAGTTCACGAGCAGCATCTTTGTGGGCTTCACCACCTCCTCCATGCTCCCCGATTGCCCAGCATAATTGTAATGCCAGTTCAGTCTAGAGAAAAGTTTAACTTCAGTCAATTCTTGCAGGTTAAATAAGATAGAGAATATGTCTTATTGTGACTCGAGAAAGAAGGTCCAGTCACCTTCGACGGACTATCATAAGCTTCTCCAAGTCTGTCCACTATAGGCTTCTGCACAAACATAAGGGTGGCTGTGAGCACATGAAATCGAGGAAAAAGGATAGAATGGGGATAGCGGGGTTTTAATTATAAAAAGTTAAGAGATGAGATATGGGAAAAATCAAAGACACAGAAGATGCGCTGGTGATGCACTTTATTAGCGCTCTAACCATCTCGATTTTGAATTAATATACATATTAAAGGTGAGGATTCGCTAGGTTTAATTAAGACAATACCTTCAGAAGTGCAATGAAACTGGGAGATCGATTAAAGCCAGCAAGCATGAGCTCTAAGATCCTCTTTTGAACCTACAAATATGTGTAAGATATATCACTAATTAAAATTAAGTACACTCAGACAATAAAAACCACTAATCTGATACTGTGCAAAGGTGACATCAACACGAAGGGCACCATCAGTAGAAGAAGGATCCTTCTATAAGAGATGGACCATAACTAGACCGTTCAAAAATGCTACCCTCTTCCTTCCTTTCTTTCCTTCCTTTTCTTTCTAGTATCAGTGAAGTTATCCTCTTTCTAAAATTCTAAACAAGGTCGGAATTATATTTCCATTACTAGACATTGGGGTTCATTGCACGTATATCAGTTTTGATATAAACTTCAATGCCTTGGAACAATTCTCTGACTCAAAGAAAAGCAAACTTCATTTTTAAAAATTAAAAGTCATGAAAAGGCATGAAAAGAAGAAGCTAGGCAATTTGCTCTACTGGAAGAAGCCACTGCACCTCTGCTCTACAGAAAGGGAACAATAATCCAAGTACCTTTAAAATTAGATAGCAAAATAGAAAAAAATGCTTATGTTAATTTATAGAGCTACAATAGGAAATTCCTCCAATAGAATATTGCCTCATCAACGTGAAAATAAATTTGAGAAGGCACTCTTCAATTTATCTATCTATATGCACTTAGATACCTCGTACAAGAATAACTTTTCTGGGAATAGATTGGAATATCTTGCCATAAGTAGGGGAACCAGAGCACAAATAAGAGCTGCAACAGAAACGTTATGAATCAAGCTCTTCATAAAATTGCTTCCTCGTTTATATAGAGAAAAGGAACCCCTGCATAAATGGATGGAACTTACAATCATTGACTTCACGGATCGCTATAGCAGTATACATATCAAGCAGCCGCGGTGTTATTCTCAGTGCTTGTTTCAGCCTATCAGACATAGACGTGCTAACTGCTGATTGTATAGCCGCAGCTACTGCAGGAGAAGCCCAATGACGTTCCTAAGGATCAAAAGAACCATAAACAGTTCAGATTAGACAAACTTGGTAAGAGAACTAACTATCGGATGACCTAGTAGATGATATCATCAGAGAGAGCATCAAAAGAAGCATGGATTAACATATTGGAAATGTGGTACTGTTATTTGCACTTTTTCTAGGTAAATAAGTGATACTGGTTTTACTCCGAAGTCTAATTTCTCTTTTAATAGCATGCAAACCAGCAGCAATCTAGAGCTTACGACATAGAAAAGACCATACAGCTAGACCATCATTCTCATCCTTGAGAAGCTCAAGAAAGAATGGATCAGCTACTGCCATTGTGGAGCTATCCTCAGATTCAGAGTCCGCCCCTCCATCTCCTATAGTTGATCCTGTATATGCTTCATCCATGAGTGCTAGCAACATCTGTTACCAAGAGGAATCTATACAATCATATCCAAAGCTTGGAAATTTCAATAATTCATAATTCACATGACTAAATAATAACCTCTGGAGCTGAACTCTTCTGAATTGAAGCTATGCTACTGCCAACCAGTGATCCTGAACTCTTCTCCACCTTTTCCAGAGCCACAACCAATACTGGCAAAAATGAAGAGAACGTCTTATAATAGCATAAAAAGAGGAACACTAGAATGCACCACTAATGGATCTTTATGGCAACTTGATAGAACAACAGCTTCAAGTACCAATATAACAACTCTTTCGACTAAGTTTTGGTCAGATTTCACTTTGCAAGATCAAGCATAAGTTTGGAACAATTCAAAGAGTATAATCACAACCTGAAACCTTACTGTTTACTTTTTTTTTCTCTTTTTGGGGAGGAGCAAGAAAGACATAGAGTAACACACTCACTAGGAAGGTCTATGATTGATGGAAATAGTGGAAGAAATGACCCCTGGGAAATCAAACCAGGAAATACTCTACGAAATGCTTTTTCCAATCTGCATGGATGATCAAAATTGTTGGTAAGAGCAGGTTCATAAACATTAGGAGAATTAAATCTGTCATACTTTATAATATTAAAAGTACTCCATACAGAAAATTCTGTTAGCCATTGGATAAGAAAAACAAAATAAAATAAAATGATGTTGAGGAGAAACTAGCTGAGGAAGGCGCTATACATTATCCTCTTCCGTTACAGTCTGCCTCTTTTGACAGTTGCTTAGCAACCATATTATTTATCCAAGCATAAGTACAATAGTCCAAAAATTCAGACTTCAAATGTTGCAAAGTGTCCATTCATGACATGGATTAGCATGTCGGAGAAGGTAAGAGGTCCCATAAGAGTCAATTTCTAAAGCTGAAGGACACATGAGAATTCAAGCAAAACTTCTGCAACCATGGAGAGGTCACCTACATCTATGATGGCAAATCAAATTTGGCAGAATTTTGTTAACTATACAACTACAAATCAGAGAAAGCATGAACACCAAATTTTAGATTACATACGGGAGTGTTGTCATACTCAAGTCCAACACGCCAATGGTTAGGAGCCAGGACATGTGGTTGACACTTCCCTATACTTCTATATTTTTATCTAAAAATTTAAACAATTCTCACTAAATTCATACATGTGTAACATTCTTTTCAACACTGAGCACTAGTTCTTAACTATTTCTTACTGAGCACTAGTTCTGAACTATTTCTTCTTTCTATAGGGCACAACTGAACCCTTGGAAAAAGAAAATTTGATACTCCTTAGAATACACAATTATTTCAATCACTTTTATAGGACCAAGTTTCATATCAGAAAAGAAAAGGAGAAGAATTCTGCATTAGATTTAGACATTCAGTCATAATAATGTTTTCCAAAGCACTTTTAAAATTGTTAGACACTTCCTATACTTCATCGTAGGTTTTCATGACTTGAATATAATGTTTGTGATGTTAAAACCTGAGTTCAACAGAGTTCTCCTTCACATGTTGAGCTAAAAATCAATGTCCTTTGATAGCTTAAATTCATAAATTAGCCCATGTGTTATTCTTGTTGTGTCCCCCTTATTTTCAAAGTTTTTCTGGCTTAGTTTCTGCATCCAAACTAAAAATGGTGGTTTGATCGTGTTAGTATCTGATCCTCCTGTGAATATCCCAAGAGGCAAGTGAGGCCGTTTCTAAATTTAAGAAACTCAGAAGGCTAAGATTTTGTCATTGTAACATCTAACCCTAGAAGGAAGACATTAAACAAATTTTTTGATGGCCAAGAAAACAATTAAGGAGTCCCTACATGGGCATTGCCATCACAATTATAAATGAAGTGCCATCAATCAGAAGAAAAGCAACTTTTCAGTCACTTCATGGGAATTGCCATCACAATTATAACTAAAGTGCCATCAATCAGAAGAAAGCAACTTTTCAGTCCTCTATGGGCATTGCCATCACAATAGTAAATAAAATGCCCTCTGCAGGCATGTGCAAGAACAAGCAACAGGTTCTACTATCTGAAAATAAATAATGGCTCACTCCATTTAAAACCTATGCAGTTGCCAAAGTCCAAACAACAGAGCAGCAACCAATCTATTATTATTAAAATGGCAAATCTTGGTGTCATGTAGTGCAATAAAGGAAATCTATTTTCAGCACAATTTACCAACAAAAAAAAGACAATAAGAAGCTGAAAAAAACAAGGATATTGAGCCAAATTACTTTCTTTACAATTCAAAGCCAAAGTTTGATTAGCCAATATAAGATACAAGAGAAATAACATAGTACCATAATCTATCCATCCATTGGCATAATTCTATAGAATTTCCCCTTTTTTATTAAAAATTGAGATATGACAATAAGACTTACTTCTCCCCATTCCATGCAATTAGCTTCAGCAATAAAGGGAAAAACTGCAATGTCATGAGAGATCAGATTAGCGCATTTGCATGCTTCCTAGTGCATATAAACATCCAAACAAATATATACACAAATGGCCAGTATATCAGAAACATTCCATAGATATCAAAACCTTTTATGCAAACATCTTTTGTAAGTACATTTTACGGAACGATCTTGTATAATTAGAAACAGTTTGCACTACAGAACCACGACTAAGAGAAGATTCAAAATTAGTTCAGGTTAAGATGAAATAGAAGGCTAACAAGTGCATATTAGGTAAAGTAAAGGACAGTATGATATGCAGGACTAGAACGAATTTGCATGTTCAGCAAAATTATGCTCCCCCTATTTCAATTTATGTGGCATAGTTTGAACCAACACGAAGTTGAGAAAGAAAGGAGTATTTTTTAAACTTGAGGTCTTAAACTGTCATAATATCTGAGTGGCTATAATACTTCTGAAACTTGTAATCTTAAGCATGCTAATCATTTGGGGTGAATTGGAAAGTTTAAATTAAATCAACTTTAGAAAGTTGTCATTTTTAAACTTATGGAACGGACTAAAAAAGAAATGTTGTCACATAAACAAGAATGGAGAGATTAGCATATATCATATTAGTTAGACAGATAAATAGTGCAGCATATTCAACCCATCATAAGGTTACAGCAATATGATTCAAATAATCAGGGTAAATCAATGTGTTAAAGCTACAGATGGTCTATACTAACATGTAGAACTGTCACATCTACTTTTTAGATTGTAAAATTTCTTACATGCACAAAGGGATGTAGAACAGTGATATCTATTACTAATTACATCTTTTTATCGGTATTAAATACAGAAATAACGGAGAGGGGATGTGATGTTTACTTCACCTGCACTGTATCAAGACCAAAAAAATTACAGTACCACATAATTATATCAAATTAACCCTCTTTCAAAGATGATATTCTACTATTTTACAATTGATGTCTTGAGCATTATACCCCCATAAATTAGAATAAATTAACGGCAACTTGACTTGAATATGTACCTGGGGAAGCAAAGTAGGAAATGAACTTGAAAACTTTTTCTTGTTTGCATTCAGAAAGTCAAGGGTTGCTTCTGCAACAACAGGGTCTGCAAACTCACTGCAGTAAGCATTAAGAATTGCTTAACAAATCCACGAAGTAGAGTGATTTAATTACATTATGTCTGGTAAATAAAAATATATTAATCTACTACATCAGAAGAAGGAATTCTAACTGCATGCTTATAACATATTACCACATTTATGAAAGGTTAGGCTCAAATGAAATTCATCAAACTTTTAACAAAAGAAAAATAACGATATTCTCCCTACCGGCTCAAGCATGACTTAAAAAAGGTCCGTAAGTTAGGATCAGCATCATGCAGGACCACATCTCCAAAGTCAAGAAAAAACTGAAGTATAGCCTATATAACAATGAAAAAAGACATGTTTAGAATTAGTATATACCTTGTCCTGGGAGGGAAAAAAACACGATAGTGGAAATAAATGCTTACTTTGTAAATACAGCCATAAAGTGGCTCGAATTTAATCTTGTATCAGAATACAAGGTAAATTCAAAGCTATAGGAATTGAATTCCTCAAAGAAGTACTTCACATAAAAGAATTTCACTATAGAAAGTTCAAAATTCATCTTTCACATATTAGTGTGACCTTTATGTAAGCAATAAACCGGTTTAATTAACTGCGTAAAGTCCAACTAAAGGTTTATGTCCAAGTGTGCAAACATAGGTATATGGAGATACATGTATACATGAGTGCCTGTCAAGTGTGCAGTATACCCCATATCCTCCTTCAACACAGATAAAGCTAGTGCAGAAGAAGTTAAAATCTAGCTGAAATGATTCCACCAGCCAAGACTGCAGATTTCAAAACCTTTTCACAACTATCTGAAAAGACGGGGGGTTTTACCTCCAAGGTAACTCATGACATAGTTATCCCTATGCATAATTTCGGTGGAGCTTACAACAGCAAGACAGTGAGAGAGATTTTTGCTCTCTCTCATTTTCTTGCTGTTGTAAGCTCCACCGGAATCATGCATAATAAACTCTCTCTTTCCAGAAAACTCAATTATTTGATTTAAACAAGCAGTAATAAAGGAGAAATTTTACCTTCTTCCTACATAAACAAGTATCTGATAATCTCTCTCATTGTGTTGCTAATGTAAGCACCAAAGTTATGCATAATTAACTGTCTCTTTCCCATGAATTAAACTATTTGATTTAAACAAACAGTAAAAAAGGAAAAGATGTTACCTTTCTTCCAAAAAAACAAATATCCGATAGTCTTAATATAAGAACATTCCAAAGTTCTAACAATTTCAACTTATTAATATGCAAAATGCAGTTAGAAGTTCAGTTCAAATAGCACACAAGATAGAGCAATTTAAAATGAGAGATTTACCTTCCTCATACTGAAACCAAGAATCTAAATATTATATAAATGTTATTTTTTTTTAGAATTTCTTTTAGTTTCAACTTATTTATATGCAAAATGTAGTCAGAAGTTCAGTTGAAATAGCACACAGCATAAAACACGAAAGCACGGGAAAGACTGTACCAATAGAAGAAGGCCATTGGAGGTTTGAGACTGCGAAATTGAAGAAAGACATCGCTGAAATATCCTATTCAGATGAGGATAAACTCTAGCAATCAAATCTTCTGATTTTTCACTTCTACATAAATCACAAAGACTTTTGACCTGAAAATGACAACATAATCAACAATTCAACTGCTACACCTCAATTCCGAATAAGCAAACATTGGCTATATAAATCATCTATATCAATAATCTCCAGATTTTCACTTCTACATAAGACTATTGACCTCAAAATGAACAACACAACCAGTAATCAACTGCTACACCTCAATGAGTTAATACTGGCTATATAAATCATCTATATCCACAATCTTCTCACTTCTATATAAATCACAAAGACTTTTGACCTGAAAATGAACAATACAATCAACAATTCAACATCTATATGAATAATCTGCTAATTTTTCACTTCTACATAAAACTTCTAACCAGAAAATGAACAACACAATCAACAATTCAACTGCAACACTTCAATGAGCTAATATCGGCAACATAAATCACAAAGACTCTTAAACCTGAAAATAAACAATACAATCAACAATTCAACTGCTAGAGCTAATATTGGCTAAATAAACATCTAAAAACCAACAATCTTCTTATCTCTTACTTCAACATAAATCACAAAGACTTTTTAAACCTGAAAAAAAAAATCAACAATTCAACTGCTATACACCTCACATCCAAATTAATATCAGATTTAGCGATTGAACAATGTGTGTGTACGGAAAAAAAAGAGAGAGAGAGGCAAAACTGACGGAATTGAGAAGAGAAGGATCAGAGGCAGGGTCGGTGACGAAATTGGAGTCTCTAGCACTGGAAGATAACGATCTCAGATGAAAATCGAACTGTTTGAATTTGTCTTCTCCGGCCATCATCTATTTATCGATACAAAGCAAAGCAGCATCAATGGCGAACTCTTCTTCTTCTTCTTAAAATTGCTATTATTATTATATTGATATTTGGGAAATTTTGAGAGTACAAATTAGAAGACAAAAATGAATAACAATTTACTATATGAAAAAAAGCAAATAAGATTTTTATGATATTTTAGAATTTTAGTTTCGAAGTTCATAATTTAATTGAAAAAATTTATCTGATAATTTTAGTATTTTGATTTAAGAGTTTATTTATTTGGTATTTCAACTTGTTAAGTAATTTTAGCATTTCAAACGAGTTTCATCGAATTTGTTTTATGTTGATACTTTTACGTTCCAATTTAAAAACTTACGAGGTTATCATTTCAACTTAAAAGCTTAATCATTCGTATCTTATCTACTTCTTGCTTTTTTCACTCTCCACTCCTAGTTTTTCTACTTCTTGTTTTTTTTACTTGAACTTTAACGTTTCAACTTGAAAGCTTATTGTTAAATTGAACTTGTTCTAGTTTTCGTAGTTTGGTAACATTTCAACTTAAGAGCTTATCATCTTTTATATTTATTATGTTTGGAGTTTTAACATTTCAACTTTGAGAATCTATCCGTTAAGTTAAACTCATTCTATTTTGATATTATCATTCCGATGTAAGAGATTTCCGTCATCCATAATCTCTTCTACTTTCTTGGACTAATACAATTTCGATCAAAATAGTTACCTTGCAACTTTTAGCTTTATTTGTTTTTAAAATATAAACCATTTGAATCCTACTAAACGACAAGAATAATCTATTTGGACAGAACACATGTATCACATAAGAAACGGCGAAAACGCCGAAAGACTTAAGCAATGAATTTGTCTGTTTCATCATAAACAGTGTGGTACCGCAGAGAGTTTTTAAACATGTAAAACAAAATAATATTGACAACTCCATCTTTGTAAGCTTGTTCATATTTCAAGTTGGGATAAAGGAGGCTGGAATCTCTGGTTATTAAGTTTTTCTAGTGTGAACAAGCAGATCCAATATAAACTTACAAGAAAAATGTTTTATTCATCAGAATGGGCATATTTTTTACCAATACAACAAATTTGTTTCACTCAGTTACCTAAAGTACAAAATGAATCCAAAATGGATTCAAATTAAACCTTCAAATACTTAATAGCTGTCTGAACATCTTTATCTCCTCTGCCACTGCAGTTAAGCACCACCCTAGTTCCATTGGGTAGAGTAGGGCACAACTTCTCCAAGTAAGCCAGTGCATGAGATGTTTCCAGTGCAGGAATAATGCCCTCTAACCGAGACAATCGCTTGAAGGCTGCAAATGAAGATCGACACAGGAAGAGAACTTTAGTGAAACTTGAAACATTACAGGAAGATGCAATGATGAAAGTCAAAACCTATGTCATTAGGTGTGTGTCGGATTCTCTAAAGTTGTGCGTCTTTGGAGGATCTAACACGGGTGGGTGCAACAACATTCTGGAGGGTCTAAGCAACATAGGCAAAAAACATGTGCAAGCCATTTTGTATTACTTTGACTTAATTGTAAGATGAAGTCTAAAACGCGTGAATTCAGATGCAACCGAAGCAGAAACCAAGATTAGAATCAGGAATTATTAGAGAAGTCAACAGTTACCTTCTAAAGCCTCCTCATCAGTAATGCTATAATACTCTGCCCGTCCTAAGTCTTTCAAAAAGCTATGCTCTGGACCAACTCCAGGGTAATCCAGTCTGGCAAGTCATAAGGAGGAGAAGAAAAGAGAAATGAAAACGGACCGGTGAGATGTAAAGATCTGCTATCGAATGACCTGCTAAAACTAACAAATAAGACACTTCCATGACCGAAAAAAGAAGTTATTACCCAGCGCTGATAGAATGGGGCTCAACTATTTGTCCATCTTCATCTTGCAGCAGGTAGCTCATAGCTCCATGCAGTACTCCAACCTCTCCCTTTGTCAAAGTTGCAGCATGTTTTCCACTATCAACACCAAAACCGGCAGCTTCTACCCCAATCAACCTAACATCTTCATCATCAACAAACTCATGGAACAGTCCCATAGCATTTGAGCCTCCACCAATACATGCGACAAGCACGTCTGGTTTCCCACCCCATTTTTCCAATGCTTGCTTCCTTGTTTCTTTGCCAATCACTGCATGGAAGTCTCTTACCATCATGGGGTACGGATGCGGGCCTGCAACAGATCCAAGTATGTAATGAGTTGTCTCAACATTTGTAACCCAATCCCTTATAGCCTCTGAAGTGGCATCCTTGAGTGTAGCAGTCCCAGAGTGAACTGCTCTAACCTGCATGTAAATTATGGAAAATGTAGTCAAGAAATGCCAGCAACTCGATAGAAAAATGGTTTGATATTATTCTTTTTTATCAAATTATAAAAACTGGTCTAATACTCTTTGAGACTCTGATAATCCCTGTTAAATAGAGAAGCCATAGTTAGTTAGACGGGTACCAAAGAGGAAGAAATGAAGCCAAAAGTAACCGTCTGATAAAATACTTCTTTGCATTTTTATTGATACTATGTAAATATTTGTACGTCCTTCAGATAAGTCCCAGCTAACACACTTGGGATTCCACAACTGTTGCAGAATGCAATTTCCAGGGAGATTTCTTCCTTGCATTTGTATCTATTAGGCTCATTCATGGATTTTAAAAAAGGACCACCATATCCTTATCAATATCGATAACCATCCACATGATATGCTCTACATCAAACTCAATTTATCGTATACTCATTCCTCCCATTTACAGTATTGGGAACTTAAGCTTTTGGTTACTGAAACTATGGAGTGCACTTACCACATCAGAATTTCAATAAGCATCAAATGCAACAAAAAATGTACTCCCTTCGAACAAAATTGAATTTCCTAGTTCAATAGACTCGGTTATTGATTATAGGAGTTGTAGGATCGAATTGTTTTATATTGGTTGGGAGAAGATGTCAGATGCTCCCTCTTTTTCAGAAAATATAAGAGAGTAGCTTTGAAAAAGCAAACAATATTTCCTTATTAGCTTATGTTTCCTCCTTATTTATTAGTATAACATGTTAGAAAAGTACTTTTTATGAGGAAAATGAACATTAATGTGGGACAGACTAAAAAAGAAAGGTTGCCATTCAATTTGGGATACACACATATGTATGCACAGAGAAAATGCATCTAAGTGAATATGTCGAAGTCATCACACAATATAAACAGCAACATGACGCTGATGAATACCATAGAACAGCAGAGTTGGTCCATAAATTATTTGCATACTTTACATGTTCTCCATTAAGCAAGCTAAAAACAAACACATAACTCATAATGTAGGAAACAAACCTCAGCTCCAAGCAGGCGCATTCTGAAGACGTTTAGTGCTTGTCTCTCCATATCTTGCGCACCCATATAGATAATGCATTCCAAACCAAAACGAGCACAAACAGTAGCAGTGGCAACACCATGCTGACCTGCCCCCGTCTCAGCAATGATGCGTTTCTTGCCCAAGCGCTTGGCAAGCAAAGCTTGGGCAACCGCATTATTAATTTTGTGGGCACCAGTGTGGTTAAGATCCTCCCTTTTCAAGTAGATCAGTGGCCCTTCGCCATTCGGACGTTTGTAGTGCTCAGTAAGTCGCTCTGCAAAATAAAGGGGACTCTCTCTGCCTACATAATCTCTTAATATTCCATCTAGCTCTTTCTGCAGACAACAGAAATCAGTTAAAAGAATTAGACATTTTATATGGGACATCACAGGCCTTCACAACGAACAGGATTGAAAAAAGAACAAAAAGAGAGTTGTTTACGAAAAGAAAAGGCCATGACAAAAATTGCTTTTTTCAGAAGACTTGAACGGTGTTAAGAATCCAACAAAGGTTTCCCATATTGTAATTTGATAACGGCTATGCTTGAGAAGCTTCTCTTGTCATAGCAATATACCTTCTGTTTCAAGCTCACCACATAAAATACCAGTTCAGGGAAACAAAACTATTGAAGAAAGGAAATTGCAATTGCCAGTTGAATATTCAGCCTTACATGGATCCATATATTCCAGAGGTAAAAAGACTCATATATTACATTATCAGCACTTAGTTAATCAAGGCTGATGACTTGATGGACTAACAGTTAAAGAGGAATTTAGGGCACCCATTGCCCCGGTTCTCAGACCAGATAGTTGTTGGGCTAAACCATCCCACAAATACTCTTAACATGGTGATGATATTGTCCGCATTGGGTCAAGCCTGCGTGGTTTTTCCCAAAAGGACTCACACCATTAAGAGAATCCTTACAGCTTATATGTAGCTTACTTTTCTTTTTAGCAACAATAATGAGAGCAAGCTTTAGCACAATGGTAAAGCTGCTCTTTTGCTGATCTATAGGTCTCCATTCCAGATGTGAGAGCAGACTCTTTACAAAAATGCAAGAGAGACTGCTAGATGCATACCACTTCTTTCTCCCAATCCCAAGCTAGTTAAGGATCCCCTATCTAGAAAAAGGGGGAAGATCTAATGATACAGCACTAAATCCTGAAACTGGTTTTTTGATATCAAAACACTAATTCCTGAAACTATTGCTATTCATTGCACAATCAACCAGACGTCTCCTGTTCAACTTCTCTAACATATTCATTGATAGAATGCAGGGTTTAAGTATAATTAAGTTTACAATAATAACAACCAAGTAAATGATATCAAATATCGCCAATCAATATTAAACTACACTTATCCATTCCACCTTTCCACTCTATAGAACCATTTCATTTCAATACTACTTAACAATTTGTCTTATAAGGCAAATGAAATCAAATCACCAATTCGTAAATTTATGCAACAAAAATCAATAGAAACAAAAATAAACTTCTAGAACCTGAAAATCTACATTTCAATACTACTACAATCATCAATTTGAAATTTATGCAAATTAAAACAAAGTTCATTTCCGAGAACCTGAAAAGCTTCATCGGTAGCGAGTGATTTGAAAGCTGTCTCGAGCTCATCAAGTGCGTGCATTAGAGTTTCAGGCACGTATTTCCCCCCAAATTTTCCGAATCGGCCGAACGAATCGGGACGTTGAATAGCCGCCGGTTCATCAACCGCCTGAGCCGCCATTGATTGCTTTTCTGTAAGAACACAGACAATGGAAGGAGGAAACTTTGAGGAGGAGTGGCAAGGTGTAATGTTGTTGATTTTGAGGGGTATTTGGA